AGAATAAGAAAGAATACATACATTGTATATTACAAAGCTTCCTGTTTATTATTATGTTTTAATTAATTTATCTTCATTCTTATCCTTATTTAGAAAACATCATAATCTTCTGCAGTAAGCACTGAGACTGTGGGAGCAGCATTTTGGCTGGTTGCAGTGGTTTGGAGCCTTATTATGGAATATACGCAGCGCTGCTTTTCATAGGGACAGCTGCCCTCAGTTAAAAGCATAGGAATTAGATGTTGATTAGATCTACTAAAAAAGTGCCAAACTCTGAAAGTCACCTCTGTCTTCAGCAGACATCAGGGTAGAAATGGAGTTAAACTGATTTATCCCAGGGAAGAATCCTCCCCCAGATGTTTTGCCTTTTCTCTGAGTTGACCAAATGATTTCTCTTTCTCTCACATCATTCTTTCTGAGACAGACTTAGTCGGGGTGCTGCAGGCCTGGAAAAGGTATGGATTCTCAGAGATCCCGAGTCTGGCTGTGGTCTCCCTTGTTTCTTGTTTGTGCCAAGGATCTGATTTGAAAATAAGCATGGCCCAGCAGCTTTGCCCTTTGAGGCTCCACCCAGGAAGTTGGCTGTGAACTTCTGTAACAGCCTTTTTTTCCCAGAGGAGCTGGAAAGAAAGAAAAGACAAGACAGTGTTGTTGGCCCTTGGGGTAGCAAGAAAGCAATTGAAGGTATCCCTGCACAACAGTTTTGTGCACGTGTTAAGCATGGAGGAGTGGAAGATTATTTTGGTTTGATTATTTGTTTAAAGTGCAGATTTGAGTGGACTGAAATGTTTCTAAACCATGTGCCAACACTAGTGAATTGTTTCATTTTAAGCAATGCAAGGCATTGGTAATTTGCTATGCCTTCTTTCAATATATTGGTACTGGGGCATGGGGAATACCCCTACTTCAAACTAAACTAAACTGTTTAGCTGTGGAATTAAAAAAACAAAATTGTCTGTCTTAAACTGATGGTTTTAAGCACTTTTCTTAAAATTTGGAAATGTAAGTTTTGAGGCAATCGGAAATAATTTTTGTTTTTTATGATGCTGAACTAAAAGATTGGGTTATTTGCACAATTCAGGATAGTGACAATATGTAACAAATCTTCACTAGTTCATCTTTACTGTTAGGAACACTTCTTGTTGGGAAAAAGAGAAGGAAATCCTCACTGATGAGTAAGGCAATGCTAGTTCACCACTGAAGTGTTAAAAATTAACCACATCTGAGGCTGCTGTAGGACAAGCAGGTTTATTGAAAATGAAGCACTCTTTACATAAAACAAGCACTACAAATTGCTGTCCACTGTATCTGACTTAGTGAAACAGTAAGATCCAGAGAAACTCATGTCAGATAGTTGCTAGTTCAGGTCTTTAAGATGCAGGATGGGGAAAACAGCCCAGAGAGTATCTTTTTAGCCTCATTTTTTCCCAAAATGGATTTCTAATATATGTGGTACCTTCTCCAAAGTGAGCAATTAAGATCCAAATTACTATTATCACATGATTTGAGGCACTGCATAAGGGGCCTGTCCTATACCAGATTAATTCCTTGGCATGGTTCCTGTGACTCAAATGATCCAATGAAATTTTCTTTCAAATGACCTTTTCTTTCTTGGGTGTTACATGATTTCATTATTAAAAGATTTCGTAAGTTAAATCTCAGGATAGGAATGGAGCAGAGCTGTTCTCCTTGTACTAGAGGTTCATGACAACTTGTCTCTTCCCAGAGAAGTATCATATTAGTTCAAATTGTACATAAGCAAATTGAATTTCAAGTGCCCTGGGGTATACCTGAGATTTTGTCCACAATGCTACGTTGCAGCTAGATTCAAAATTCTCTTTGCATATTGCAAACATGTTTGTGTTTGAAACATAAAATGACACAAGTAAGTATTGGAAGCAATTGGAAGGATCTTTAGCTGGTGTGCAGGTTGGCATTATTTCATTGACTTCACCAGACTGGCATCAGCAGAAAAGTATTTTGATGAATAGGACCCTTTGCTCCATTCATTACTATCTGTAATAAAGAAAGTGAGCTTTAGCAGATTAAAATTTCTCCAAAGATACCGTATGACAGGTCTCTATGATTTACTGTAGCTCTGAGCACATTTAACAATTTTGCTGTGTCCTGCTATGTTTTAAAGAAAACCAGAATAGACACATTCATCCGTAGGTTTGTTTGTATCATCATGCTAGTCTTTGCACTCCTTATAGGTGAAATGCAGAGTTCATTTTGATCTGGGCTTTGGATTTTCACCCCTGTACAAACCAAAAAAGAAATCAAAAGGGTAAACTGTAAGAAAACCTACTGACTCACACTTATTCTTTCTGATCCATACAGATCATAGCAAATCACCATATGCAATCTATTTCCTTTGCATCTGGAGGTGATCCGGTAAGCATTTATTTAAAACTTTCCTCCACATAGATATTGCTTTATGAGAACTGTGTGACAAAATTTATTGCATAGCTTACTGAAAGAAAAATATAACCACAATAGTTCCTGTTTCTTGTTTCATAAATTCTTCTTGATTGTTGCCATCAAACTCTTTTTGAGGGAAACGACTGACAAGCAGTCATAAATCCTCCTCTTTGAATGACTAAAACAAAAAGTATCAAAGGGCTGTAAGCATCCATATCGCACCTGATAAGCAGGGCTCTGTTTTTTCAGAGAAACGTAGTGTAGTCATATGGGTATTGTGTGAAGTTCTGTCCTGACTGGTTTTTATTTTGTACTTTTAACAGTAAAAGACTATGATGCAGTTATATTTATAGCAATGCATGCATTTTTTTTTTTTCTTCTCATCTTTAAGTGTGCATTGAGAAGACTGTGCTAAATACTGCCTTCAGGTATATTTGCTACATTCATGCAGCTTGAAGACAGGCTTTCACGAAAAGCCCAGATCTTTATTTCTAGTTTTGCAAAGCTTTCAGATATGCCTACACATTTGGTTCATTTAGACCAAGGGCAGACTCCTGCTTGTTACACTTTCCCCTGTTTTTATAAGCAGTCCATCCAAATGCATATTAAATGTGCTCAAAAAGTATTGGTCACCCAGGAAGCAATGGGGAATTATAAAACAGGGACATTGCTTACCTTTTACCCTAGAGGTTTAAAAGCTTTTAAACCTACATTAATCGAATGAGTCTGCCTTTTGCTCCATCACACAATTATCTGTCATTTATCAGTCATGTCATACATGTAAGGCAATTTCTAGCCTGCTTTATGAGGTAATTCTCTCAGTTCATCTCTGTAAAGCTGAAGATCCTTGTCACTTTCTCTGTTCATTTCACTATCCTGAGAAAACATAAGGGCAAACTTCAGTCTTAGTATAGCTCTGCTGAGCTCAGTTCAGTTCCAGAAGGGAAAATGACCCCACATCATAATAATTTGGGGAACAAAAAATGGATCAACAGCAGCTTTGAAGTACAACAGATTGCAATGGATGCTGTAAATGAACAATTCCTGAAGTGGGCAGAGGAGTGATTAGCACAGTTCCCAGCCTCCATAAGAAGATTTTTCGCTCCCCATCTGCCATCCCAAATGCTAAGTCCTGGAAACACCATTGCATACTGCCCACTGATAGAGTGATTTACCAGGAAAGAGGAGATGAGCAGCAGTAGAGATTGGATTTGCAGTAAACAAGCTCTTCCAAATGTTTTAAAGAGGTGAAAATCATGCTACTGAGCCAGTGAGCTACCAGAGAGGTAATATTGCATGGTGTAAAGGAGCCTACAAGGGACAGTGAAATTGTAAAGTTGCTGTCCTAATAAGACCACTGCATGGTGATATAATTCTGGGGGTGGAGAGGGTAGGTGTAAGTATTTAATGATGCTCTGCAGGCTTGTCTCAGTGAGCTAGTATCTGGTACAACTTTTGATTTAAAGCTTGTTCATAAAGCAGGTGGTCCTTTTGTCCTGCATGCACATGGAAGAAGACAAGATGCATGGATGTGATTTATGTCACAGCTTCATTAACCCATCTGAGGGTGATCCAGACATAACTTTCATCAGCCCTTAATGATTTCCACTTGGTGGAGGACGGCAACCACAAAACCATATCCCTCAAACACAGTCGGGCGCCAGCCCATAAGCTCATCTCCTCATATGAGATTTAAAATGGATGGAGAAAAGCCATAGTGAACTAGGAATGCAGATCTGTGCCCATGTTTCTTCAGGAAATACTTCCTTTGTTTTGAATTTTGAAGTTTGGTTTATTTAGAAGTAAGACTGCCCCCACTTCTCACCCTATCCACTTTTCTGCTCTGAATATCTGCCACACATTCATGCCAGCAATTAGCTTTGGAACTTTCCTCCCACTCCCTTAAGCGTTAATTACCTTCATAATTCAAAATATATCCACTGGAGAAGTGTTCCACAGTCTTGGAGAACAGCTTGAGTGCCATATATATTTTTGCAATATTCCCCTTTGCAATGAGTCAGACAGTTTCTGGCTGTGTCAGTACCTGGGATCTTAAAAATCTCTCCACCAAATCCTTTTACACACCATTTTGAAATAATTTTTAAGTTCACTGCCAAGATTGTGTTCTGGATCTGCTTTAGCTCTCTTCAGCCCCTCCTTATGATACACTAAACAATTTTCATCCATAGCCATTTCAAGTGGCTGTTTCCAGGCTGCTAGACAAGACATCTGTTTTTGGAGATGCCTGCTGAAATTTCAGAGAGGCAAATCTCATAAGGTCTAATAAGGCACGTCTCTCAGAGGTCCCTGAAGGCAGTAGTTTTTCAGTTTCATCCCTGCCTCCAAATTTTAACACCACGATGCATTTTCTTTGAGGTGAAAATTATAGCTCATTCATACTTGTCTTCAGTCTTTGAATGTCAGGGACCACTTTGCTGCATCAGCTCAGCCCTGTATAGCCTTTTCATGGGAGTCTTCTAATTTAGCTGCTGTGAAATGTGCCCACCTTAATGGTTTGTCACAGGCAGCTTGAATCTGAGCGCTTTGGATGAAATGAGTAGGTGGTTCCAGTCTCTCACACCCACGCTAGCTATGAGATAGATCTATGATTTACTCAGGCATGAATGTATCCATTAGCTATATCTGTACTAGTAAATAAAATTATCTGTGGCCTGTTTTCTGGCCCAGAAACTAAATAGCAGAGTGCAATTTGCATCCACACATAAACTCTTTTCCCTGCCAGTGGTTTTGGGATCGATGCCCTGCATATGCTGGTCCCTCAAAGGTTTTCAGAGCATGGCATGGAAAAGCAGCACAGCCAGGCAAGGGAGAGTAGCAACAATTAAACAGTAAGGACAACTGTGGGACAACTCTCAGGCCTTTACCTTGGCTCTGTTTTATTTGCTGCTACAGAAATAGCCACTCTTCTTGTCCCCTTACTTGTTGATATGCATTATTACACTCAAGTCATTGCCCAGACACTACATCACTGGATGCATAAGAAATTGCTGGACAAAACATTAGACCTATTCTTCTCTGCTCTGTTTTTTTTGTTTGTTGTTGTTGTTGTTGGTTTTTGGGGGTTTTTTTGTTTTTTTTTTACAGACCAACATCATTGCTGCTGTGTCTGATTGCCTTCCAATTGTGCATTAAGTGATATGGCTATGCATCTGTCACCAGAGCTATGAACTGCTTCATACCTTCTCTTTAAAAAGGAAATTGTATATACATGCAGCATAGTTGTTTGTTTTGAGTGGATGGTGATGGTGTGTGTTTGCACTAGAGTAAGCTAAGGGAAAGAAGTCTCTTTTAAATGCAGATTGATGTTTGTTTGACATTAGATCTGGACATAATTGTCAGTGGTCTTGGACTGGTCACTTGAAAAGGCTTTGAGTAGATTTATGAAGCCAGCTGTAGTGTCTCCTATATATAGCTCAGTTAGGTTTACCTGACTAGCCAGGCATGTCAGGAGATATCAGACCTAACCAGGACTTCCCGACCACATCAAGGATATACGGCATTTTCCAGATGTGCCCTAGGCAGGCCCCACATTTCCCAGAAGCACCAGCCTTTCTGTTTCATCTGGTCATTGATAAAAGTCTGAGCCACTTGTGTACAGGAGCGTGAGGACAGCAGGAGAGCAAGCAAAAAATCCCCAAAGAAGATGTCAGCCTGCTCTTGACGGAAAATCCACCTGGCGTGTGGCAACAGCAACGGCTGGGGGCAGCCCATGGGCTGGCAGAGAGTGTCCTGGGATACTGCTTGTCACAGCCAAGCGGTGGCTGAGCACTTCGGTGCCGAATGGCACTGTGGTCAGTAAAGTAAACACTCCTGCTTGTCATACATGAATAAACGCCATGGCTCAGTATTTCTGGGGAGCAGGGCTGTTACTCCCACTCTTTCTGCCACAGAACCAGTTAATTGTTCATGTTCTGAACCAAAATCTCTGGGTACTTTGAAGATGAGGACTTGTAATTCTATTCCCTTCTAAAAGAGGCCTGATTCAAATCCTACTAAATTTATTTAATTGATTTTCAAAGGCCTTGGAAGAGATTTTTAAGTTCTGCCGGAATAGATCACACTTTGGAGAAAGCAAAGTGGTGGGATCAGGATCAGTACCAAACCTCATAAATATTTTTATGGGGTTTAAGTAATATACAACGGTAGAGCAAAACATGCCATTTGGGGCTCTACCCACAGGAATATGCACACTCTGGTCTGTGATCTGTTGCTATGATCAGTACAAAGATTTTTTTTCATTCATTGCAGATGTCTTAATTTTTTGACAGGATACCACTGACTATGTTGCATATGTAGCTAAGGATCCTGTTAATCGGAGAGGTAAGTTAGAAATACCTATTTGGCATCTTCTTTCCTTTGAGAAACATGAATTATTCATGGTATAATTAAGTCGATTTTTTTTCCCCTCCAGAAAAAAATAAATGCAGCCCAGTAAAAACATTGCCTTTGACAGAGTCATGGAAAGATTTTGTAGCAATAAGGAACAGCCATGTGCAAGTTGGTTCTCAAACTTGGAACAGGTCTTGCTTGTAGATCATCTCAAAATATCACTTTGATTCTCCTAATCTCTCTCAAATTCTTGCTTTACGTGGCTGTGTGAGCTTCTAGGCAACAGCTAGCTCTTACCTACACCCAATCACTATGCAAGAACTAAGCAGTCCTCTAATTAAGTCCTCTGACGAGGCAGCTGAATCTGTTAGGTCTTCTCAATACAAGCCTAATTCTTCAGAATCAGATTCTTTACCAAATAGTGAGCTTTCGAGCCAGCTTGCTGGAGGCTGTAATCCGCTTTCTCATTGAAGTTTTATTCAAGGTTGCTTTATGAGCGATCAGTCAGGAACAGGGAACCTCTTGTTGATTGTCTTCAAAGACTAAGATCTAATTCAGATTTTCAAAAATAAAAGTAAATTATAAAAAGTGTAAATTACAGTCTGAAATAGTAGTACAGAAA